CGCCTGTTGTAACCATAGTAATGATTGATTTTCACGTTTGTATTCATATCTGGTTTCCAACTAGTATACTTAGCAATGAAAATAATATTTTGTATTTGAAGAAAAAAAAACACGTATAAATATATACATTTATGGGATATGATGCTCCGTGTATATACGATTGAACTCTAACATGCACTATTTTTATATAAGCCTGTTGCAAACTTCCTGTTATCGATATATGTATCTATTTCACAATAGAAGTAACAATTTAATGTCACGATCGGTGACCTTCAAATGCATACCAGACCATTCCATAGGCGCCCTCCCCAATAAACTCGAGCTTTTGGTACCGTGTTCCGACTTTGAACACCTGCCCACGGATAGTCACTGTGCCATCTTCGCTGGCCATCGTGGTCAATGTACTAGCTTGACTGTAGAACGATGAATATAGATTGGCAACGCGAGCTGTGTTTGAGCTTGCTGGATAGTGCGTATGCACCTATTTTTTGTAGTAGACACTATTCATAAATATTTACGCGAAAGTTGTCTACATTCCACGAACAAGTTAAAAAAGACGGCACAATTTCGGCTCTAAATATTTATTTTCTGTGCCAACTGTGGTGTTATTGTGAAAACTCAAACCTAAATATATTATCCGTAGAGAGAGTTCAGAGAGAGATACAAAATAAAATATACATACTTGGCCCAGATTCTATGGTGTTCTATTGGACAATGATCCTCTCTTTGCCCAATAAAATCACTCAAATTTGCATTGGAATCTGTCTTATCCTTCGAGTACCGAACTCTTTTAAATCGGAATGTTTCATAATCTTAAAATAGATTTTGCATCTGAAACGCCATGTGATTAGGGCTGTGAGGTTGTGAGCTCATAGACACCTATCTTGACAACCACCATGATAATCTCTTTGTTTATAGTTACAGATAAGCGGATAAAGGATAGACATATAGACGTAATTCGATAAGTTGCGATATCTATCTCTATTGCAATATGTCAGAGAAACGCATACTACTCCCTGCGAAGGAGGCTGCCAAGTTCAAGCAGATTCTCAAGTGCTATGAAACAAAACAGTATAAGAAGGGTCTGAAGATGTGTGAACAGATCCTCAAGAAGGTTAAGAACCATGGCGAGACGCTGTCTATGAAGGGATTGTGTCTGAATGGCTTAAATAGAAAGGTAAATAAGATCCTCATATTTTCAAAGGACGATATTTAGTTACAAATCATTCTAAGATTTCTGAGTGGGACGTACAAAATACTTCGAAATGGCCTCACCAATATGGAAAACATACTTAGCACTAATTATATATGTGTGTGTGTGTGTGTGTGTGTGTGTGTGTATGTATGTATGTATATATTTGGATGGGTGGGTATATATATATATATGTTTATATGTATATGCATATATATATGTATGTATGTATGTATGTATGTATATGTATGTGTATAAATATATATATGTATATATATATATATATATCAGGTGTGTAGGTACGAACACAGTATAGGAATGTACATATATATATATATATATATAATTTTAGATAGTTATATATATATGTATATTTGTGTCTCTGTTCGTGTGTTTGTTTGTATATTATTTCATATATTTGTACTATATTACATACGCGCATGAATATTTATATTTGTATGTATATGCAAAATATTACTAACTTGATATTTTTCCAGAGATGTGCATTAGTTCATCTCTGTATCTACGTAGGCGTCAACAAATCTCTGTATATGTGCATCTTGGTATATACATGTTTGTACATGTATACATTTAATAGCTGTGTTTATATCCTATCATACCGCATATCATATATATATATATATGTCTGTATCCATGTATGTACATTTTATTTGTATATTTTGATGTATATATATATGTGTGTGTGTGTATAAATTGTTTACATACTAATGTATTGGACGATAATTCATGAACTTTTGTACTTTCACGCATAAGCATTCTTAATTTGTCTGTCAAAACCTATCTACATAAAGATTATGTACTTGCGTATGTACATGTAAATTGATACATATACCAACACAAGAAATCTTGTAGATATCCTGCCATATGTCGATGTGTTTGCGACAGTTTTTCTTCGTATAATAGCAGAAATATATATATATATATATCAAGTAAAGTTCAGGAGGATTGTTTTTAGTGTTCGGTTTTTGCATACGCCTATTGTTACATGTTTCTGTTTGAATACATTCATCCATATGTCGTGTTGTCTAGTATATGTGTGTGTGTGGTGTGTGGCCATTAGGGTTTGCTCGTATACATCCCCATGATATGTCCGATGTTGCTACATAATCACGGAAGGCTCGATTGAACTTCGAATGTGTATTGTGTCACACAACGATTCTGAATTGTATCCACACGTATGTATATTTAGCTGCTATCACGCGCAAATTTTATGTGTGCGTTTGAGAAGGGCAGAAGGCGCGTTTGAAAAATTGAGATATATATATGTGCTTATACCCAATTTGGTATGTCTACAATGATTTTTATACTTTTGTCTATGTCAGCACATTGCATTGTATAGTGCTATCTCCGGGCGTGTTCGGCAGTTTCCACACTTTACTGAATCGCTTCTTATATTTTCAGTTCATTCATTAGTTGTGTGTACATATTGCTAAAATTTGTTTTTGAGATTGTATTTAAGACTACGCAGTCAAGCTAGATCAGCTCTGTTCATGTGCTGTCTCGCGTCCGGCCTATGCAAACGTGCTCTTCTACTAATGAGCTTGTTGTACAACAGTGTGTATCGGTGTTTGTGTATTGAGATGCGGAGACACATTGTATCTCCTGATAGACAATACAAATCTGATGCCTGCCCGCAAAATTGAGTTGTATGGCTTAGGCTATACAAATCTGATGTTTGCCTTCGATATTGTCCTTTATGGTACTCGTCGCATTAGTGGGAATTTTATGGCGAGAACGCAACACGCAGAACTCCGAAACTGTTTTTGTTTTTTTGCCTGATATATTTTTGAGTGTGCGTTATCTGTTTATACCTGTGCGTCGTGTATATATGTACGCACCAGGTATCACTATCGAACGACTGTACGGTCAGTTGCGATTCCACCTGGGCTGTAGATATCACGTATTTCACCACAATTCTAATGTATACAGCGCGAGTACCAGAGTTGTACACCTTGTCGTACTAGCTAAAACTGACCGTTTAGTCATTTCTACCCACGTCAGTCCGATTTAAGCTGCGATTAAGCGCTCGCAATGTAAATACCAAAACCCTCTCGACACATGAATCCGATATTGGCTCGAGCAAGGAATTTGCACCAATTATAAATGTATGCATTTGTCTTGTTATCTACCTACATAGGAGGAGGCCTATCATTTCGGACGTGAAGGGCTCAAGTACGACATGAACAGTCATGTGTGCTGGCACGTGTACGGTCTGATGTACCGCTCCGATAAGAACTACCCCGAGGCAATTAAGTGCTACCAGAATGCCCTTCAGCACGATAAGGTATGTGGTGTCTTCGGTGCGTAGTATCAAGGACCCTTCTGTTTGTAAGGTTTTGCGTTACATATTCACAACATGCCATTCGTTTTACACCCCGTGGGACCTTCCGCCGCTCAATGTGTATTGAAATATGGATTCATACAATTGTATACTTACTTCGACTATGTTGTTTGTAGCTTGAAATCTGCCCCTATGCCACCGTTTAAAGTTTCTATTTCATTTTAACATTCAATTGGGACAGCTGAACACCCAGATTCTGAGAGACTTATCATCGCTTCAGATACAAACGCGCGATCTTGAAGGTTTCAAAGTAAGTGAGGCCCCGCAAATAGTGTGTAATTGCTTAAATATCCAAAGCATATGTGTCGAAGCGTTATTTAATTTCGTATCCATACTACTTGTGGAAACTTTTTTTTCTTTCGTATTTATCTATCTTACACTACCGTCTATATACCCAATCTGTAGAACACGCGTATGCAACTTGTACTTACACTACCGTCTATATACCCAATCTGTAGGACACGCGTATGCAACTTGTACAGATCCGCTCTCAGGCACGCGTGTCGTGGATTGGACTGGCGATGAGTTATCATCTCCTCCAAGACTACAAAATGGCGCGCGATGTGCTGCAAGTCTACGAAGATACGCTCAAGAAGAGCGTAGCTGCCGCACCCGGTGCACCGGTCGAGAGGAGTGTGGGCACTCAGTACGAACATGTATGTGGATTGGGTTGGAATACATTCCACCTTGTTGTAAGATGTACATTTGGGATCGCAACATGAAAAATTATGTGTTTTGCAACCGATTTGACAATTGGTGTTCGTAGCCATACCTTCGCGTTACTTCATACATCGATAATTGTCAGGAACTGTCGGCATAGACTTGTCTTTATTGTCTCATATTCTGTATTCTATCAAACAGAGCGAAATGCTGCTCTACAAAGCCATGATCGTTGAGGAATCGGGGGATATTGAGCAGGCCATTAAAATTCTGGACGAGAACAAGATCGACATAGTGGATGTACAGGTAAGGATTGTAGTTTTATATAGAATATCCCGTGTTTACAATACCCTCATTTAGATTTATAATATTGAGATGAACTGCTGGGATAGTCACATGTTTTGAAGTGTTTAGAGGGTGCTCTATAATAGGTTAAACGAAACCTGTTGAGTAAGGTTCGATAATTCCTACTATATATCCTCCTCTGTGTTACCCGCTGGGTCATGTACTCCGTCCTAAGCTTAGAGAGCTTTTGTAGTCTACTCGCAACATTCGTCGGAAACTATCGCTGAGGTCTCACACCCACAGCAAGAAGATATAAGTGCTCGAAGGTGTTTGCTGTGATTGGTCGTGACTTTTTACTGCAGAACAATTTTCCTATTCATCACTGTCTGTGAGTTTTGCGGACCATTTCGGGAACCCCAATTCGGTGAATGTAGCAATACACCTCCTTGGTCCAACATTTTGTCTCTATCCGAAGTAATCGACCCGATGGGTTGACCGAAGATCGCGTGGTACTCGGGAGTCCTAAGCGTATGCTCTAGGGTTAATCTCTCTCAATGTGAAACACTGTTGTTTCCCGCTCAGGCCTACAAGGCACAACGCTCTAGTCTGTTGTTGAAGGCCGGGCGATTCGGCGATGCGGAAAAGAGCTATAGAGATATGATCGACACAAATCCTGATGACATCAATCACTACCTAGCCCTGGAGGCGTGCCGTAAGGGCCTCAGAGGCGAAGGTAAATTTGTTTTGCATGGTTTGTGTTTGGTAATAATGAATTGGGTGTGTTGAATTAAATTGAATAACATTGTATTTCATTAGGATATTGTTGGGTTTTCTTGATTGGCTGTATTGTTTTGTGAAAGTTTGTAAATCCGTGACCTCATACGTTTTCCCAGATACACCCGACGCGCAATTCCGAGAAAGTCTTGAGGAGCTCTACAGAGAGATGGGTGAGAAATTCCCCAGGTCTACTGTTCCCAAACTGCGTCTACTCCAAGTTACACAGGCCGACAGTGAGTATGTATTTTCGTTCTCCTGTGGATTGTGTTGCTTTGCTTTGTTTTGAATAATTTCCCCCTACGGACTTAGGAAAACATACATGTATAACTTAGCTTGTGGTTTAGTTGTCAATTCTTAACAATTGGTTGGTTTTTGTCTCGATTGATATTACTGGTGTAGGCCATGAATGTAATTTGTATTGTAATGTTGCCCTCTCATCATGCTTGATGTGTCCGCTACATATTAGTGGGTCTCTCTGAAATTCAGACTAATACTTCTCTGAAGATTGTGTACCTTTGCACACATTGCCCTATATTAGCTCCTATTCTAATTTCTGTACCCTGCACTCATTCCGTCCCGTCATGAACGTCGAGAATCAACTTGTCGATGTGTTTTCGTTATAGAGCGAATAATTACAATACCGGATGCAATCTTATACTGACCCTCAAGCTGTATCATCGCACTTCTACCCCCAAGACTCTTTCGGGGACAACTGAAGAAGTTCCTACAACGGTCGTTACGCAAAGGTCTGGTGTCTCTATATGCGTCTGTAAAGACCCTGTACGCCGATCGAGCGAAGGCAGCCGTAATCGAAGAGGTTGTCGAGGGATATCTAACCGAACTGAAGAAGAGTGGCAAGCTATCTAGTGGTATGGCGCATATCAACTGTCGTTCTGCTAAGTTTATTGGCTATACGCTGTTATTAGCGCGATGTACATAGTGTCGATTCCGATGTGCATCTTCTAATTGTCGGTACATGTGTTACAAAGTTGTACGAAATCTTTAGCCTTTTCAGTCATGCTTCTCATGGTACGAGAGAGAGGTTTTATATGATTTGTTATTTTTTTCGATTTTAGGAGAGGAGGCTGAGGAGAATCCCGCCACGCTAGTCTACGTGGAATACTTTTTGGTCAGGCACCACATTAAATGCGGCCATTTGCAAAGGGTATGTCCTGGCTATATCATCGTTTGCCTTGCATCGCCCAGTACTCTTCACCCAATAGCAGAGTGCAAAAGTGCAGACAGGAAAGTGTAATTGGTTTTGCAGTCCTATTTGGTACGGATAGCCAGTTCACTCGCGCACGAACATCTCCGCGACAGAATTGCTTATGCTTGATTCTGTTCCTTTGCCGGCGCCAACCCTGAAGCCCGTTTTTTTGTGTTTGTTTTTTATTTTCATTTCCAATTGGTCAGGCTTTGAAAACTTCGCCCTCAGCATAGACGCAATTGTCGTCTATTACCCCCTGTTCTGTCGTTCATGATTGTCGTGACTTTGGTATTCTCACTATCTAAATGTCTAACCGCGTAGTGTTTCTGTACTAGTTGTATAGTTCCTGCTGTCGTATCCCTACGAGGATGATAACTAACATATTGCTTTTTCTCTGTTTTCGCAAATTTATCAGGCTCTGGAACTTATTGAATCCGGACTAAGCCACACACCCACATTCTTAGAATTCTACACCGCTAAGGCACGTTGTTACAAGGCAAGCGGCGATCATGCAAAGGCCGCTGACATCATGGACGAGGTTCGATCGCTCGATACCGCAGACAGGTACGTTTTGTTTGTTTTTGTTTTTAAAGAGTGAATGTATTGCGACCCATTCTGCTTAGCCTAACAAATATAAAATCGATCGGGAGCACCCCTTTAAGTGAATATTGGCTTTCCATATTTTGAATTTCTAGCTTCGTTAAGTTTCTGTCAGTGTGGATTTTCTGTTTCATTGTGTATGCATGCGTATACAGCCTTTTGTACACGATTGTCAGTTAGTTGATATTTTGTTTGCAAGCTACAGGTGTTTTGCTGACTTGCTTGCTTTTCTGACGCATGCACCACTAGGTACTTGAACTCAAAGTGCGGCAAGTATATGCTTAGAGCCGATCGACCCACGCAGGCGCAAGAGATTGTGGGATTATTCACTAGGGTATGCAGTTTTACTTCAAAACGTACAATTGGTCTAATATTGCGTTCAAAAACATGTGAAGACTCCGGAAGTTCTTTATGCAAACGTGGCTTACCTTGCCATATTGCATGTCACTGCCGATTTTATTATACATAGCTTTCGTACCCGCGCTAAAGATTCCTACAGCAGTGTAACACCGTATATTCGCTCGTCTCTTCTTGTTCTGATGCCTACAGGAAGGTGTCGATCAGGTGGATAACATAAATGAGATGCAATGCATGTGGTTCGAGAACGAGACCGGCGAGTCTTACCTGCGCATGAAGAATTACGGCATGGCGTTGAAAAGGTTCCATCAAATAGAACAAGTGAGTTTGTACTATCGGCGTGCAATATTGATTATCTCCAAACGCTAAGGTGCAGTTTCAATTTCAATTGTGTTCACGAAATGAGCGTTTATTGGTGCTGAATACAAACTATGGATATATGCGCTGTTTGGACAACATGTCCAAAGCACCCATCTCGCTCTATGAAAGCGAGTCTAATACTAGTTATTTCCTTTCTGCAGCACTTTGTGGATATCAACGAGGATCAATTCGACTTCCATGCGTATTGTATGAGGAAGATGACTCTTCGTTCTTACATACAGATGATCAGGTTAGAGGACGGTCTACGCTCGCACAGTTATTTCAAAGCCACGGCCATGTCTGCAATAAGGGTAAGTGCATTCATTCTATGAGTCCAACTATATCTACGTATATTTCTATATTTTCTATATATATATAATCTTCTTTTACGTGTACATGTATTGAGCTCAAGTTTTTTCCCTTTCCATGTGCATTCGCGATAAGGGTAAGTCACGACTAATCAACTCGACTTGCTTGTTTCTTGAATGTGATTCTCCAACTAAGTACAATATGTATCTGATGTAAGTACAATACCATACTTCTCGATTAGTTTGGTACCATCCCTAAAGTATTTTCACTGTCAATTTGATCCTTAGAAAGCGAGGTTGGCACACATTGTAAATTTTCTACGTAATGCAATTTATAGTCACGCGTGAAGACTGAACATATGGATGTACAAGCTGTTGTAGAACCCGCTTGTGAAACTGAACTTTTCTAACGAATATAAAACACCTTCAGGCATACATAGAGCTCGCCGGCGCGCGCGCGGCCTCTCCCACCGGTGTCGTCAATACTAGCGGAGAGTCAGGCGAAGGTGCCAATGGGTCAGGTCTGTCGGTTAAGGAACAGAAGAAGCTGCTGTCTAAACAGCGCCGAGAGGCCGCCAGGGCTCAGCAGGCGGGAGAGGCTACCAAGGATAACAACACGAGGGAGGCGGAGACGAAGAAGGTGAGCTACGGTCTGACTGTGTACATGAACTGGATGGCTGTTCTATGCGAGAGAGTTACTACAGGTCTCGAAGCTTAGACTGTGTGTCTACGCGTGCACTCCTGTGATGTCATGTGTTTTTCAATATCCAAGTACTATACCGTATCATTAAAATGTGTTTTGTTCGCAAGTCGTACTAAGGGTGTGGCAGCAAGAGTTTACGGCAATGAATCTACTGTGTGCGCACTTGTCTGTACTTCACGTAAACTCACAACTGATTTCTATCCAACCGACTACAGGCGCAGGAAGCTGTCAAGAAGGAGGATAAGGATGCCAATGGAACTGAACTGGCGAGCACGACCACCCCTATAGACGAGGCCATCAAGACATTCCTTAAGCCTTTGCTAGCACACTCTCCGAATGACATAGACACACAAAGGACTGCTGCCGTATGTATTTTATATTCTTCTTTATTTGGTATATTATTGCTGTCTTCAAAATGTATTGTTCCCCAATTCCAACATCTATCCGCATGTTGAATGGCTTCGGTTTCAGGTCCTTCTAACTTCGTGGTTTTTATGCGCGCACACAGGAATTATACATGTACAAAAAGCAATATGTGCTTGCGCTGAAGGCTCTGGTAGCCGGTAAGCAGATCTGTGAGGATGACCCTGGATTGCTGGTACAACGAGTACGCTTTGCACTGGCAACGAAAGACGCACAACTACCCGAAGTTGTGCGAAAGGTTGTGGACACCCATTTGGCCACGATTCTGGATGATATGCAGCTACAACTGCACATTAAGAAGTATCAAAAGGAGAGTTCAGGCAAAAGCTTGCTGCATATGCTTGCCGGTACGACTCTTTAGTGTCTTTTCTCTGATTCGTGTTATCTGCAACTCGTGGGCTATTTTTGCAATCAATATTTGTGAAACTTTATTGCTTATTTAGCTGACATCAGACTCAGACTACGAGAGAAGAAAATATACGTCCATCGAATTCTTGTGGGTGTGAAACTCTCGTTAAAACTTCTCTATATCGATCACTAGGATTTCAAGCAGAGACTTTGGTCAACGGTAAATCCGAAGACTTGACGAAGCGAGCGGTTGCTGCACTCACACAGCTGATCAATGAGATGGACTCGGCCGACATGGTTGTGTCGCAGATCAAGAAGGTTCAATCAACACTCAAGACAACATTCGCTCAACATGAAAGCACTGACGAGTTCAAGCAAGCGTGTTTGGAGGTTCGTAAACTATGTTGTGCTCCATACGATTTATGTTCTCGATGGAAGGCTCGATATCTGTATGGTTTGTTATTTGGTGCTCTTTGATAATATGTAATCGCGATCTGTATTCTGGCGCATATGTTCGCAAACATTCTACGGTGTAGCTCATGCGCCATTCCTATTTGTTTCCTATCAATTCTAAGTCTTATTCCGAAAATCTAATTTTGTTCACTGCTTTCCAATCTCGCACTGTTGCAGAAGTCTGCGGTATTAGCTCTACTGTAAAGGTGAACTTTGACGAGTGATCGTGTCTTGACGGTGGTAATAGTATATAACTGCCGGTTTCAGCCCCGATTTTGAGCTTATTCATTTTCCAGCTCAATTATGCACGCTATGCCGCTGGCGCGTTAAAATGGGAATTTCTGAAAGGCTTTCACATGAATTACAATCAGAAAAATAATAAAGTGCATCACTGTGTGGGGTGAACGTCCCGTGAGCATCGTACCAATTCGCAAGAACCGTACAGAGAGTTGCTGCACAAAAGCGTGTTTCAGGGCGAGAATTCAACATCCTGAATTTTTGGGGCTTTCTGTTCCTCATTTTGATTAATAATGTACTATTTGTTTCCTTGGTAGCCGTTTCAATCCGATATACGGAGCTTTTCATACCAGTGAGCGAGAAACAAACGGTAATAAGCTGTATAGTCATAGCATGGTTTTTGATTGTGATAGATCTACTAGTCACGAGTGGTTATCTATTCACTAAGTTGCACCGCCCTTTAGTACGAAGTAGAGGGAAGAGTTCATATTTGTCACCGCTTTCGGAGTGTTCGGAAACATAACACCGCTCTGCATCATAGCCTTGGCACGTATGGGTGTCATCAAAACTAGCATGCCCGTTCTGACAGCACTCTTGGCACTGAGTACGGTTAGTTCCATACTCTTTTTGGGTGCACAGTTGTGTCGACAAAGACTGATATATCTGCTCTTCGAAGTTAAAATGGTAGAATCGCATAGCATATACACATATTCGTACATATATGTGGTAGTGTGGGCTTTACTCGTTGGAAGTGCCACCATGATACTGGGAAATATACAAGGAGGGAAATTTAAGCACCTGATGGCCATCCCCGTCCATATCGGCTACTACGCTGTACTATTTGTGACTGTATACTATACATACAAGTCTCGGCATGTGATGGTTGGTTTCTCCGATTGGAGGTCGAATGCACTGATCGTACTTTTCTACGTGATGACTTCAACTATGGCTTGCCGGGAAATGGAATTACATCGTGTGGGCTCTAAGTATGTACAATTCAGATCCCGTGAATAATGCATTCTGATTATCACAATTAAATGCGAATAATGCACTCTAATTTTCACCTTTAACATTCTGATTATCACAATTAAATGCGAATAATGCACTCTAATTTTCACCTTTAAATGCGAGGATTTTTGAAAGGTACAGCTTTGTATTTGTACACGTTAAGCTACCCTCAAAAGTATATCGTAGCGTATCGCTCACTGGCTTTGGTAGTATTTTCCATATGTTTTCACTGGCTACTGTCACAGTCAATATGAATCAGCTCGGTCAGAACCGCTTCTACCTGAAGTTAATAGTTTAATATCTTTTTTACATTTAGTGGTACATTCTGCATAATCATTCTGCATAATGGTGTGGGCTAAGTGGCCCTTTTTGTGTACTTACCATTTAATATGAGAAAGCACCATAATTGCAAACAGCACCTTTTTGACTCCCCATACGAGCTACGATTCGAAAGAGAGGACAGTGTTACATTCAAATTTTGCAGAGCGAAATATTTGGAGTCATGTACGTCAAAGACTTGGCCATTTCTTCTGGGCTAGTTTCCAAAACATAAGCAGCCGCTGCAAATCCCGGGCTGGCACACACTCATGTGGCAGTCGGCCACAGAATAACAGACCAAGGATTCAATATATTTATTTATAATCAATTTCACAGACTCGTAGCCTCAGCAGGCAGCCCTCGCTCGTCTCAAGAAGCACAGAAACGGTAACAAGACATTGATTGGTTTGGAACGTTTGCGCCATATAGTTGTCTTTTCTTCGTAAATATCAGATATATATGCGTGACCCTCAGACCTCAGTTCTCTCACAGTCGGCGAAGATACTAAAATATGATTGATCGGACTATTATTTATGTGTTCAAAACTAAAAATTGTCTTGGGCTCTCTCTCTGACTCTACTATATATATATATAAATATATGTGACAACAGCAATAGAACGAACGAATTGACCCACTACATTACAGCAAGAAGGGCGATTCTGTGTTTTAAAGTGCGCTACACTGTCTTCCGCTTAGAACGGTCAACGTGGCTGTTCTGCTAGTGTTGGTTTGTACGTGTGTGTAGTCGTATCAAATTGTAAACTTCGAAACGAACATGTCTAAACAGGTGCAGTGGCCGGTGGTTAAGTGGTCCCCGTACGACGAAGATGTGTTTGCAGTCACCGGGAGGGACGTTCGCTTAGTACAGTTTAAGGCGCCCTCTGACACAGAACGGGATGTGAGTGTATATGCTGTGGCCGACACAACTGTTGCTGAGACTTCTACGTCCAGAGTATTGGCTACAAACCGGTATCAGACGGGTATCTCGCGGAAGGTAGGTTCGTGCAGTCGTGGCCAACGAGAGTGACAGGTCCTATAGCTCATCAGTATCCGAAATTCGTCGGTAATTGTTCTTTCTTGTAACGATATGTGAACCCTGTCTTCCGGCACAGCGTACTGGAGCAACACTGTGTGTCTGTTATGTTTTGCATTGTATAGTCAGCACTTCACAGCCAGCCTGTTGGGCTCGTGAACCCGCGTACCTACTCGTCTAGCGGCATACAACTACGTAAGTGCAAGGAAAGATACATGTACAGGATCTGAAATTGCAACCGTTACAGTACATAAGTCTCGTCAGAAGCTTAAATCAATTAATTGTCCGTGACATACAAACGTTGAGTACTATTTGCACTTGGGAGATAGTCAACTGGGTTCAGCGCCAGACTCGACACTGATTATAACTCTACATCGTATACACAATGATATAAAATAGAGTGTATGTTAAGCTGACGACTATATATACTTTATTTGCGTCAACCCTACTCAAAGCCATGCCTCGATTGGATGCCGGAGCGGGGCTTCAACTTGGTGGGTGTTCCCTTAATCAATGGCGACATTTCATTGTCAGTTTTACATCCCACACTTTCTGCCGCAGATGTGATACCTGACTTGCAAGGTATGCAGTCACTCAAATAGAAAGCCATACGTTCGTGGATGAATATTCAATGTACGTTGTCTGCCGGAATGCTGCGTGTATACATGTTGTGCATGAGTTTTTAATAAGGACCTATCTGCACGCAGAATAGTTGTTATAGTACGCACTGGAAGAGCCAAGCAACTGGGGACGCTAGAATGTGTTCAGGCGCGGAGCAACACATTCCTCGGGGCCGATCTTTGTTGCTAGACTCGTGTGATAGCGTATGTTGTTGCCCGTTTGGTTTATCTGCCTGTCTCACTATATCGTATTTGCGCCCTCCGTGACTGTTATCTCGAATGGTATTCCTTTTCGATAATATATGACCCATTGGCGTCACCCGGCTATGTTCTCCGACAACTATTACAACTATTCGTATATCACGTGCGCAGCATAGCTCACTAGTTCGCGGGCATATGAATATTCGCCGCTGTGCCGCTCGCGCAAACTGATTCCTACTGCTAGCTCCAGCTACAACAAATCATCCGCATCCCGGGTACTATAGAGCACATCCCTGTTATGCATACCTGAGACATCAAGATTTGAATAGCTTAACCTCCTACTCTATTGAATACTATTAGAGAGTGTCCGAACATCGTCTTCAATGTTGGAGAAAGCGGACGGAGTGGGCCATGGAGCGACTACTCATGCGAGCGATAACCACAACGGCATACGAGAATCACAGGTCTCGCTGAGAAAGGCTCGTAGTATCGGTAATGTCGCCACCCAAGGTAGGGTTGATTAGCTATCAGAGAAATCTTGATTGCTCCCTCTCTTTATGCTCAACAATGCGTATACAATGAGCGCAGAATCTCGTCAAACTTTTACAATCTAATCTGCCCTGTTTTCTGTACAATTGTAATTGTTTATACTGCCCTTGGCACCTGCGTAGGCATGCAATTGGGACTCTTGCTTGCTCCGTAATGCATCTCTACATATACTGAACTGGGGATTATCGAAGCATTGTCAGTACATTTGAAAAATAATTTCAGCCATTTGCCGCACTACTTCTCCGCGCTCAAAATGACACTTGGTGGATCACTATGTATTCTACAGCTGGTGGTCCTAGTACTGAAGGCCGGCGGATTGACGAGGATAAGCAGAATCAAGTAGCTCTGCTTCAGCTCCGCAATAGTCGGTCCTGTGTCGCTATGCAATTCAATCAGATCTATCCTAATCTGTTGGCTTGTGGATACGAAAGACATAGGGGAGATGCCGGACTTCTAAGTAAGGCCGTCAAAGAGGCAGACGTGTTTCGATTGTATTAGACGCTTCTGATGTGGGGATCTGAGGGTCACTGAATGTCGATGATGCGTTGATAGACGCTTGTATTACATAGTTTTGTATTGCAATCGCTGAACATTGTACTTAATAATTTTATCGGCTGCATTGTTTAGTATGCTCCATCCTTGCCGCACGCAGAGCTACTAACAGGCTTACGTACAGTTGGAGTGTTGTACTATGTGTCACTCAAGCGGCGCGATTGATTCAATCGACTTCGCAGTTTGGGACATCAGCAAAGTCTCAGTCGTATCAGAGGGTGCGAACGACAGCACAGCCACACATGCGGTAGACAGGCAGGGCCGGAAGGACCGGAGACTATCTCGCGCAGCTGAGGTGGGCTTTGGTATGTTCTGCACCTGTGGAGATTGACTTATAGAGTCTTTCAGAATGCTCTGTGTATCTTTTGAATTGGTGATCTTTTCTTATTTATCCCGTTGTAAAAACGCGAACATTCACTTCTCAATGCCTTTGCCGTAAAGTCTATGCACGCGCTTATATAAGCACATATGGCGGACTTATATACAATTATAATTGTCTGCCCATGCTCAGTGGCCAAATTCGATACAGGGCTGGATATTCCTGAGAGTCTCCCGCGTAGTCAGTCATCGGACAATGTCAAAGGCACGAGCGATACTCCCGCCTTTAGACCCATAAGTCACAGTGAAGCGGTCATATCTCTTGCTTGGGTGCCTCACACACCACATGTATTGATGGCGGGAGTGGCTGGGAGGCATCTCAGGGCATACGACGTGAGAGCGGCTTCGGATAATCCAATACAGTCTGTGGGCACGCGCGCGGTGCACAATCTGACATTTGATCCGTACAGGTGACTTATGTGTCTCTCTTTAAGTTTGCATGTGGGATGGATTAGCAAAATTGTTGCTGTACTTGCGCATAAATTCGTAGAAAGGGGCAAATGAGGATTATTTCAGCCTAGCGTGCATAATTGGAGGAGACAGTTCTCGAGTCTCATCTTGCGTTTGTGTATGGAAATCTGTAGGTCGCATGTCTTTGCGTCGATCTCGGAAGTGGAGAGCACTGTCAAAGTGTGGGACATGCGTTCGATGGTGGATCCGGTGATGACTATTCAAACTGCGCTGCCCGCCGTTTGTATGGAGTGGTGCCCAACAAGGTATCCATCCGTTTCGCATCAGAAGTTGTAAGCTAGCGTTTCTCGAAGGCGTTGAACGGCAAAGTACACCTGTGTTTTCCGCTTGGACATAGTAGTGTATGGCTGCCCTCAGTACCCTTTTCTCAATGATTTGCTGCGTGTTTTGTTGCAGGCCCGGCTATCTCGGATGCTTGAGTCGTAACAATCAGCACAAGATTGAGATTTACGATATCAATCACGCTCGCATCGACGATGGGCTTCGATCGGGTGGCACACGCTACGCTGTAGCTAAGGTAAGCAGTCGACCTGGTCGGTCTAACCAGTGACCACTATACGCGTACTTGCCGTTACATTGATAGTAATTACGTCTTGTATCATTTTTTTCATTTAGCTCTGGATAGTTTTTGATCTAAGAGTACCACAAGTGATATTGCCTTCCTGTTGTGTATTTTTCTGTGCGTAGACTTGCTCATCCGCTCTTCACGGCCCTCTCACAGGTGCGTCCCAAGCAAATGCGACACACCGCTTATGAATTGTCATCCTTCCATTGGCACCCGCACACACCGGGACGTTTGGTGACAATCTCTCTAGACGGCGTTGCGGAGGTATGACGAATGGAGCCCTATCTAATGTTTTATCAATACATGCAACAGAGTGCGATACACGTACAGGCAGTATTTCCTAGACTCATTGCTAGTACGTTCGTGAACTGCTTGGTCGGATAACCTTGGTCCAAACCTCTTACTCCGTATATTCCCCCTTCTATCTGCCCTTCAACCAGAGCACTCGGGTGTGTGATCCTAGCCCAATAGGCTTTCCCGCGGCTAGTGGTGGTGTGGATTGGATTACCAATCAAGACATATTGTCTGCCAGCCCATTTAAAGATGGGACTCTTCCTGGGCGCGCTACACCGATTGATCTGACTTCAACGCTAGGAGATCGACTTGTACTAGGTATCCACGGCCTGCTCATACAGTCTTTTTTCTTTCTCGTCGTGTTGTGGCTTAATCGAGTGCAGTTTCTCTGTATTGGTCGAATTGAAATGGCTTTCAAGTGTTCCTAAGTCTTGCCAATGGACAGCTTTAGCACACTTTATCAGGCTAATCCGTCAAATTGAATGTTTGTATTTTGTTTTCTTATTTTTTTCCTTATGGTTATTTAATCAAAATTCCCAACTAGGTAGTGATGGGGGTACACCTTTCTCCTGTGATCGGCGCAGTTCTCTCCCGCTCGATGCTTTTTCCGGCTCCTCCGCCACCCCACTACCGACCGAGCTCACAGCGCAAACAACGCTTGCCCGAGAAATCATCGATACACTGCGATCCGATCCATCCAATGTCATTCACGAGCGTGCCCTCAACGGATACGGCATGGATCTCGCTTTGAATATAGCACTGACTCAAGACGACCCCCAGTTGCAAGCCTTGTGGAGTTGGCTCTCTGACGTCGAAGTGAGTAGCGCAGCTGCCGGCTTGGCTGCTCATGCGCCCACTGCTAAGACAGGCATGGCCATAACGTCCAAGACCGTCCCGGTCACCTCCTCGCCGCACACTATCCTGGCTACACAGCTGAAGCGGAAGGCCGATATGCAAGCGGGTATTGCGGAGCTGCTGGGTGACTGGCCCCGAATCCCGCGAGACCAGGTGCAGGCGCAGCAGTCGCAACTGACATCAACACACAACATGACCTCAAAGTACGGAGGACTAACTACAGCCCACCACGAAGTGAGCGGTGGCGACGGCGACGGGCACCGGTTTTTCCCGGTCTATCGGAGTATGGGTAGACAGGCTGTACAGGTGCGTGACTTGAATCTCGTTGGTAGGTTGAGTGGTGGGGTCCTGGCGACGTATTATAGTACCACTTGTCAGTGTTGTCAAAATTGAACAGATAGTCTCGGTTATTATACTAGCCCGATTACAATCTAGAGTTAACGTGATTATGCGGGAAATCAGAAGCTGAAATAGCAAACTAATTGTTAAGAATATGGTTGGGCACACCTGGGTGTAACTTTCACACATCACTACTGACAATTTGAAACCATACTAGCATACTCATGTTCTGGCTCTTCCGGGGTGGGTTGTATGCAAATGCTTTAGGAATTAATGGGCTGGCATTTTGGAATGGTTTCGAATCCTATTGAACCAGTGCTACAAGCAATGGAAGAGGAAACCCACAATGAGAAGGCGGCTGCCTTCAGTGTCTTCCACTGCAACTTGATGCGCGCATTAACATCGCTGCAGTTGAAAGTAAGTGATCATTTACATAGCCGGCATTTTGTAAGGCACCAATTGTGGTTTCGTATCTGAGAATTTTGCTCCCATTGTGTGCTCCCGAAAATATTCATAAAAAGTCTTGATCTTTTCTATCTAAAAAGATTGACGAGGGATATGATAGCCCCGAACTTCAACTAGCCATCATGGGCTTGTCGGGCTACACTGACAACCGTGACAGTATATGGCGGGAGTGGTGCAGCGGTTATTGCAGTCGGATGCAAGATCCGTATCTCCGAGCGTGTTTCTACTTCCTCACATCCATGGGCCCACCATTTACTGATGTGCTAAGCGAAACTGGCATGCGGCTTGAAGACCGTGTAGGATTCGCATGTCGCTTTCTCCCCGATGCTGATTTACACAGGTATGTAAGTGCGTGAATGGTTTCACATTGCAATACAGCTTAGATGCGTGATCCTCTGGGCTATCGGTTATTATCTGTGGGGTGGGATATTTTTTACCATCGACTTGGCAGCGAACCTGACGGCGTGTATTATGAATAAACCTCTGTGAAATTACTGTACGTGTCGTGAGCAAAGCGTCTCTTTGTAATCTCACCATACAAGCCAATACTTCCGGCCTGAAAGAGATGACCTTGTATACTAGATATATTCAGGAGACAACCGAGTCGTATATACTAGATGGTGATCTTCGAGGTATCGCTTTGACGGGGCTAACATCTGTCCGCGGGATGGAACTGTTAGAAAGGTGAGCGTTGATAAGAAGTGCTTTCTCCTGTAGATGTAGATTGTGTAGTATGAGATACTATGAGTAAGCAGCCACCTCTGTACTGCCGATTACCATCCGCACTATCTGTCAACATAGTCAATGCCGCTAGTATATTACCATCGGACGGGGATATGCAATTTATCGACCCCCTTCCTATATGCACGCACTTCGTATACTTATCTGTGATCATTTTCGGCTCAAATTTACCCATATCAAGGTACCTTGAGCGAACGGGCGATGTGCAATCCGTGGCCTTAGCCGTCGCCCATGTGCACTCGTCCGTTCAGACTGACAGTCAAGTGAGCCCGGATGGTCCAGATGGTCGATGGGGAAATGCGAGGCGGAATTCAGAAGCCAGTGCAAACTCCGGTAGATCGTTTGGAAATTTCTAGAGTACCGGATTTTTTTGTTTCGATACAATTTGAGAGTTAATATATTCTCTCCGTGTGCTCTTGTTCGCAAGGAGGATTTCAAGAGGAGCGTACATTCGCTTAAATGTTTGTAAATACCTGAGTATCGGGAATCTCCCCTTTTCCACAGGACGAATCACGCCCAGGAAATCGCTTGAATTTTATGTGCTGCCAAACTTTGATTGTCACGTTATAGCAGTAATCTGTTTACTGACCGCTCAATCGTGGTATGCCATGTAGGCTTGTGAGAGGTGTGGTTATCTCAGTTGTTAAGTATTCTGTTACGTTGAAATCCAATACCACACAGGTACACATCCAGAGCAATTTGCACCGTATAAGCCGAAATACGAAGAGTGGGTGGACACATATAGAGATATGCTAGACCGTTGGCAGATGTGGGAGGAGAGAGCACTTTTCGATGTGAAGCGTAACCTGCTGGTTACCGATAGAAGCTCAACTAGTTTCCAAATGTTTGTCAGGTAAACCAGGCCTGGCCGATGAATTGGATTCAAACTTTGGTTTCGCCTCGAACTGCAGTGGAAGGTCAAAATCTTATTTTGTACCTCCATCGTTCTATTAATAGGTGCAATCTGTGCAATAAGACGGTACAACGATCATCTAGTGCGAATGCGAACTTTCATGGCCAACAATCGCGTGCATATAACGCCATGGGTGTTGGCGGTTTAAAGGTACGTAGCCGGCATGGCATTCTGACGCTCTATATTATGTTGCACACACGACCTTTTCTTGGTACACTATATCGCTAGTTTCTATGACACTACCCATGCTCATGCACTCGCGCATACCGCTAAGCGCTGAATACTTTCACGGTTTTCTACTAATGAAACTACCTTCACTGTAAACTCGTCCTCAGTATACTTACCCGTATTATCCCAAAACCTGTGTCTATACGTCAACAGGCCAATGTATGCCCATCGTGCCGCAAGTCTCTACCGAAATGCTCACTCTGTCTGGTTCCGGTAGGAACTCCGTCCACGGGCGGCAATCCTGCGGTAACCAACAACAATAACATGCACAGCCAGAGCGGCAGCAATCAAATGCCGATCTCACCGAGCTTGCACAGTCGCACACAGCTCAGAGAGTCAGGCCAGGGTGGCAGTGGGGGACTCGCTATGGGTACAGGAGGTCTACTGCACAGTGCCAGTGACCAGGTGATCGAACGCAGGATCGCGCGCATGGCTACCGCACCCCCGTCGTTGACTGTCAATAACCACAAAGCAGGTACCAACGGGACGATGCACGGGATTGGTTCCACACCCACCTCGCCTGCAAATATTAACATGAATGCCATGCAGAAGCAGACCTCGATAAACAAGAACTCGAACAGGCCGGATGGGCCGATGACTGCTGGTATCGGGGTGGAAGGTGCGTATACCAAAGCGTTGCAAAATCCGGCGATGTCGCCCCTTTCTCTGTGGTTCAGTTGGTGTCAGAACTGTCGCCATGGCGGCCATGCTGGTCACATAACGGAATGGTTTTCTGCTCACGATGAGTGTCCTGTATCAGCCTGTGATTGTCATTGTATGTTGCAAGACGGTGTCACGATGCGATGAGCAAGGGCCTGAATGCTTGTCATCCCATAATGGCCTGAATGCTTGTCATCCCATAAAGGCCTGAATGCTTGTCATCCCATAATGGCCTGAATGCTTGTCATCCCATAATGGCCTGAATGCTTGTCATCCCATAATCGGAGAGTTGGACAGGTTGCAACATTCAGAGGAAATTCAGGATCGTTATCCATGAGATTGATGCAAAAGCTCTCCTCACATTCGCTTTTCAAATTGGCGCGTGGATGCCCGAACTTCTCATGCACTCGTTATGTACTGGATACGACGGAAAGAAGTCGTTGGTGGCTTGCCAAATGATACTGCGCAAACTGTATTTCGCGGACAAATGTGGTAGGGACAGAGATATATAACGACTATCAACGGCGCTTAGGTAGTTCAGTACGTCCCCAACAACAAACGAAAGCAGCGGAGTCTCAGGATCAGAATAAGAACAGTTCTGGGCATCAACGGCCGGACGCAAGTGCCCAGAGGCCGCTATTGCGTGTGGTCTATTTGACATGGTTGGCGAATGGGAAACTTAGTATCGGTATCGCAAATTTAGTCAATTTAAAATCATCCGGTGACTCGTGCACGATGCTATCGCATGATGAACTTAAATGTATCAAGCTTTCTCGGCCGGATCTGATCTCTGGTTTGAATGCTACAGTATATGCGAACCGCAAAGATGGTTATTTAGCCCGTTTCGTAGTATCTGAAACGTATTTATTAAACCTGCTGGTCATGCATAGGCAAATTATTTACGCAGGCAACGCAGCTGTCGTCGTCAGGGTTTCTGGAATTATATCGCATATCGTGACTCGCAAATGTACACCTTATGGCTATTCATCTGCTGCCATATCTGTACCTTCCTCCATCTTGAAATCCACTACTTCGTTTTCTTCGTGTCTGTCTCTGTTCTTATTTTCGCTTGGCTCCTCACCAGCTGGACTGTGCTGCCTTTCCACCTTGATACAGTGGTCGTCCGTGACCATCTTATCGTCTTCGCCCTCTCCCCTGTCGTCACTAATGATTATCGTAGCGTCTCTAATGTCTTCCGGCCTTTCTGCTAGTATTGCTTTCCTACTGCGCTCTAACAGCTTGAGTGTAGTTTTGGTATGCTTTGCGGGCTTGTAGAATATGTGCGGGGTTGACTTCACCCGTATGAACTCACAACTGCCCAAATCGGTGAAATGCTGAAATTTCATTTGTTGCTGTTCGAAGAAGGACGAACACGGATGAGTGATATATTTGATACAAACAACTCATGTGCTGGATACCCCAGATCAATCTGTGGGTACATGTTAATATCAATTAGGAAGTCAAAGGAAGTCAAATTGATGAATATTTGGGTGGAAACTGAAACAAACAAAGGCACTCTACATACCACTCGACTTGCTTCCACTTCTTCAGAAAGATTGACCAGTTTTTGAGCGGTTTCATCCTTCTGCTGTAGTAAGTTCAATATCTCCTCCTCCTCTGTTGACGTATGCCATGTGAAAATAATTCAGTCACAGACTACGTGCTGCGTCCTAGATATACAAGCACCCCCCAGCACAAAGATGCAAAAATTGTACCGATTGTTTGCGAGAAAATGTACCGAAACCTGTCCGAACAGAAAAAGGATCGCTCCGACCGAAGCGCTGTAATCCGCGTACACAGCCAGTGTATACTATAAGCTAGTTTATAAGTAATTACGTGTATACACATGTAGAGATAGCAACCCACCGATCTTGGACTGCTGACTTGTCTTCTCGGTGATGCGCTTCTCGATTTCCTGGCGCTTCTTAATTAATTCCTCGTCCTTCTGCTTGCTGACCCGTCGGCCACCCACCACCACCCTGTTCCTACTACCGCCCCCCATATTACCCATCAGCGCCCCGAATAACCTGCGGTTGCGCGTCTTATCTAGCACAGCCTCCCCTTGGCTTATCCTCTGGGCGCGTGCTTGTGAGATGCTGGCCATATCTTCTTTCTTGGGGAGAATGGGGCCTGAGTATAGATAAACGTGAAAGAGGCGCATTAGAAAAAAAGGTACAGAACAGTTTGTGCCATAGTTCCTTCAACAAAAATGTACCTGGAGAGTGGCGTGCAACATGAGAGCCTTAGATGGGCTGCAAGTGCTTGGTTGTCGTAGCTGATTATTGCTGTGCTTAGGATATAGAACACAATACGCTTTGTGATTGTGTCGGGCCCTACTGATGAAGGATGATGCACACTGGTGGGCTGTGAGAGTACCAAACTTCTTCGTATACTATGTATGATCCATGACAGTGGATTGCTTCTATGAGGTTCGACACATCCGCAATAGCACCATATAGCATCATGAAATCCTATGGAAACCTTTGTGGTACACGGACAACACTCAAAAAAATTCATGGACAACATGTGTGCATACAGATACATCAAATTACCAGAGAGTAAGCTGTAAGTTAATTATATGCCAAACCTCGCGGCGTGTGCATGCGGAACCGCATGTTTTCTCGAGAACCACGAACACTCAACAGTAGGAACGGTAGAAAATCTGTGCGTACGTTAAAAACTTCTGCAAATGCAACACCCTTCTTAACATTCTTGCATAGGGCAGCACGATGTAGTTGCCCTTGCTTTTAAGTCATCGCATCTCATGCATGAGCCAAGTACCTATTCAGTTCTACCTGCGCTGCGCACCCCTTTGCCCTACATAGCGAGTTATATCAAGATTGGCCCTAATCATATCTTGCGCTCATTTGCAAGGATTAGAAGCTTGCTATGCAGCCACTTATGCACACGAACATCGTGTCGTCTTCTTATCCAAAAGTATGCGTTTGTGTACGTTTACATAATGACCCGACATCCGTACACGATATAATCGTTTCCGGGTTTCAAATATCATTCGAACGTTAGCTATACGATAGAACATATACCGTTATTGATACTTGCGAGCAGATACGAGCGCATGAATACCAATTAAGGTTACATCCTCACTAATTGTTGTATATAACAACATGGATTATTGACAACGCACCTACATTGTATATATGAAACCATGTATGCATACATCCTGCACTGAGTTTTGTTTCATTCTGCATTGTGTTCTGGAATTAAGAAAGCACTCTATACAAAGCATTACAATGCATATACGCATATACATAGAAGAGAAAAGAAAGATGGGTGAACTAGTTCTCGGATCTGAACAATATATACGCAGGGATGACACACGAAGATATCAACCCAATGACCATGCTGTTAGATACTTTTGCACATTTGTCGAGTCAAGCTCACAAGCCGATACCACTGTGTATGTCCTAGAACAAACAAACACTCACTACAAGGGGTTGCAAAATACACACTTCATCCACTCAGTCCAGTGTTTGCAAAGTGACAGCGCTGTGTCAGCGTAGTGTCATAGCACGTGCACTATAAGTATCCATACCTTTCGATTTAGGCTTCTCGGGCACATTGTCAAGCAGCTCCCCTTCTTCCACATCTTCCTGATCAACGACATCCTTCTTTGAATCCTCTCCCGGTAAGTGTTCTGCGTGCGCTGACGCCCTTCTCCGCGTATCAGAATCCTTGTTGCTATGTACACCCCTGCTCTCTTTTCTCTCAACTTCCCGTCTGTGGTCTCCACTACTCCTGCCCTTGTGTGTATCTTCGCGCTTGCTATTGTGTTTGCTGTCTGCCTTCACATCCGTGTCGTCTGTACTGCCATTAGAACCAATGAAATTTTTATCTGGCGATTCATGCATCTGCTCGTCACCAGGGTCGACACGAGCGCTCTTAGTCTTGCGGATTATCACGCTCTGTATAGCAGGTGTATCGTCTTCTTCATCCTCCTCTAACCGTTGCTGTCGCTTTCTTTGTAGCCGTCTGACATAATTTATAGACGTTATGCTAAAGTTAATATAACGATTACAATACTAGCAACAATTCTGCCAGGAATATATGATTTGGTGAAAGATTTGAGACAGTGTCGGAATAGAAAACATACCATTATACCTGTATATATCTAGTTATTAATGATGTCGATAATGTAAGTACGGCATGCGCAAAGTACTGACTCAGAGATGCTGAGCAAAACTGAGGACAAAACGTGTGTTTCTACTATCTGCTACGGGCCGGGGCTTTAATATAACAAACAGACTCGATAAACTTTTCTTATCTCAGGTGTAAATTTGTGGGAATTCAATACACGCAAATATACGGTGGAACGTGCACTCTTTAAGAAAGGAAGACATATGTGAACTCTATATCACCGGCTGTACGGAAGTCCTAGTAGACATACCTGGCAGTCGCACCGAAGCGATGCAGTTGATCCTCTATTTCTTTGAGTTCAGCTTTGTAGGCCTGAAACTTAGACTCGGCTTCCTTCATCGTGACCATTGTGGATATTCATGCATGCAACCTCGAACACACACTAGAGTGACTCTCCATTCACCAAAGCCTATATTGATGCATTTGAAGACGCTACTAATCTGTGTATGCCTATTTTGTAAATACTGCACCTGTGTGGGCCGTGGGTCCCGTGGTGCCGGTCGGAAAAGAATGATGGTGAAAAGTTGGGTTTTTAGGGTTAGGTGTCTAAAAACAAAAAAGGCCTCAAAATTTAAAAACCTTCCTCGGCCTATTCAGAATTCACATGTGTGAACATAAATGAATAAACAGAATGTGTAGCTATCTATTAAAGTAGCACTTCGGCAACGAACTAGATTCAGTGGGCCATTTTGTATCTGTTGCTTGCACTTGTTCTTATTTGCTGTTTTTGATATGAAATCTAAGAGAACAGACACACTGCGTGAACAGTTTCGAATAAAAAATCATGGGTGCTCAATATGGTTCAGTTCGGTTTAAAATTTAGAGCATTGATAGCTTCTAATACATCACGATAACCATGATTATTACTTTTATAACACTGCCTCAGCGTACTTAGAACCCTACTCCTAGCCGTATCGGGAGGGGTTACGCCAGTCGCTACGTCCATGTGTATTATCTAAAATTTACCCTAGTATTCTACCATATTTCTTGATGCTCATATAACTGTTGAAATTGCACGGTTGTGTTCTAACAGTGTAGAAGCTGCATGTCAGATACCGACAGTAATCATACTTCTTTTAAATATCTTCAGCACCACATCAACAACAACAAGGTACTCCGTTTTGAACAACCCGTTCTAACTATTTAGACAATAGGTTAAATTCCCAACAGTCGCTACTTTAAATTTATACGAAAACAACGCAACTACTAATTTATCCCTAAGAATGTAGTAGCGGTCGCTTCACACGGAAGTTTTACGAAATATTGTTCAGGTCAAATCTATATAAAAAAATTATACAGCTGAAATCCATATTTATGTATGTGTATTAAAAGCTAATTTATTTTTGTTATTTTACAGAGGATATGTTCACCCTAGCCTTCTAAATTAAACACGACTATGATGTTGAATTGTGTAAACACTTGATGTAAAAAAACGTTTCACGCGTCAAAGTTGTTCATTATTATATATAGCTGGGGACGCCTTGATGGACCGAATATCTAAAAAGGGCTTAAAAGAAGAAGGATATAAACATTGGCGCCTGGCGCCTGGCGGTATATACATCGGCAAAATCAAAATAAACAACTCGTCAAAGCCGTCGGAGCCATCAAACAGTCAATTTTCGCGTGAAAATTCTATAATTAGAATATTGCCGCTACAGCAAAGACATTGGCTAGATATGCCAAATCACAGAAGACATTGGCTAGATATGCCAAATCACAGAAATAGGCTCTTAAAATTGTTTTTGATTGGCCCTTACGTTGTCACGACGCACACTAAATTCGGGAATATCGACTTCATATTCGGGCTGTCGGAGTGTCGGGCCCCGCGAGATATCTTTTTTTGCTTGACTGCTGTAGTGCTGTCTTCTCTCGGTTAGCAATCAGCTGGTATTTATTTTTATTTATTTTTTGAATAAAAATACACCGTTCTTTGTCCCGGTGATAGCGGCGCCGTCTGTGCACAATTCGCGCGCCCATATTTTTTTATACATACTTGTTCAATCTTCAGAAGGCTATGACTACTGTATACAAGTTATTCTAAATAATACAATACGCCTATAAAATTAGATCAATTATATGTTAATACCAAGTAACGCTCGGGCTGTTTTCGTACAACATCGTCGTCTTACAACGCTTACAATTATAATATATATACATATATATAGGCCATCTGTACATATATACTTTTCACGTACATCATCTAAACACAACCATGATGGCTTCTAACAAAAATGAGAGTGTCCCCGTAGTCGACACACCGACTACCGAGGCCACTGCCGAGCCCACACCAACTCCGATTAAGGTCGGTACAGGTGGGGCTAAAGCACACGTGGTCACTGACGGTAACATGAGTGCCGAAGAGAAGGCGAAACTGCAGGGAATGATTGGTAACGCTAATGCACAGGTGCGTAATAGTGTGGAGTAGCGAATTGCTACATGTGCACGAGTGCTCACACATTGATGCAGTTGTTCCGCGCTCATTGAAATACTGTGTCGTCGCACTGGACGACGCCTATATGGTTTGTTGATGGACTGTGAAATCTAATCAGCGATCAATTGTGTAATTATATTGATCACCTCGTGCCTGAAGAGGGGAAGCCTCTATATTGTTGCTGGCTCTGTGTGTGTGTGTGTGTGTGTGTGTGTGTATAATGTATATATAATGAATATATATATG